CCAAAAGGCTCAGGATGTTGATATTTAGTTAGTAGCATATGCTGGGATCAAGGACTACTATGTTTGTTAAAGTGAATGACTTTGACTTATATTCAAGGTCACAGGGGTCAAATTTGTTTAAAATCTTTAAACAACCTCTTATGAATAACCATGGGTCCCAGGATGTTTATACTTTGCAAGTTGCATCCTGAGATGAAAGGCTATACAATGTGTTCAACATAATGACTTTGTTCGACTTTCAATCACAGGGGTGAAATGTTTTAAAAAAAAATAACAGGGTCTTTTGAACGAATTTTAATCATAAATACTGATATTTTGCCTGTAGCTTTATTTTAGATCACTTTTAAGGTTACAAGTGTGAGATTTATACCAGGTGAGCGATGCAGGCCCATTGGGCCTCTTGTTTCTTTAATTTTCATGGTGTTCTCACTTTGTTTGGATATTTGGTCCCAAAAAATTATAAACCGATAATGCAATGGATAATTAGTTGGTTTACTATTTTCAATTAGCACTGATTATTGACAATTTTAACTCATTCACCCCTGAAATTTCATAATGAACTATTCCCATTTTAACCTTTGAATTGGAAGAGTTCAAATGTGTCTTCAGGGATGAATGAGTTAACTGATCCAATACAATACAATACAAATTATTTTATTAAAGTGTTACATGTCAATTTTTCTTAAAATACATACATACAAGCATGATCTAAAATCTGAACTGTGCTCGCCAGGACATATTTTAAATTAGGTTCATTCATTAAGACAACAAGTTTCTGTACAGTGTTAAAATAGTTCATGATGATTGGCCATCACTACCTCTGTGACAGATCTCAGGACCATCATCACTCGGCGCCTGAAGAGGGAGGCGGACGGTTCCCTGCTGGAGAAAGCAGCAGCTAGTAAGAAGCAACACCTTGAGGAGGAGGAAGAGGAGGAGGATAACGACGGTACCAGTGACATTCCTCAGACAGTGGAGATCTCGGACGATGCTGCTGAAGGGGGAGGGACACTTCAGACACTACTAAGGGCCATAGAACTCCAACAGGAGAAGCTGGCAATGCAGGCTAAACAGAGTCAGGCGAGTTTATCGTGCAGAAAAAAGTTAAGATTGATAAAAATAAGTCGTTGGTGTAACTTGTCACGATGAACTATTTTCTAGAAATATCTGAAAATAACAATATGTGTTTGTATTGATTGTCTTCAGCGAATTATTTTGAATCTCTTTACATGTATGCATAGGTTAAGATATAAATCTCAACATTTTCGAAAATATCAAAGATGCAATCTTTTTCCCGTAAATTATATAAGCTCTTTGTCAAGATTGGGCTATAAATAACCCTCTTCTTTCGATTGGTGTATTTACTTCATCATTCATCGTGACACAGGTTTCTCAAGGTGCAGCAGGGAAAAGGGCAGGTTCAGCGCTAAATATAGCAAGCCAATCGGCACCAAAACGTATCCGACAGGACCAAGACGGCAACCTCATCATCACTCCAAATATGGGCGGATCTATTGAGCAGGTGGACGGAAACATTCTGCTGAAGCTTGACATTCCTTCAGGCTCGATGTCCTCCATCAGTGGCATATCGACAGGAATCATGGGGTCAACCGGGGTCGTAGGGTCATCTGGGGGCACCTATGTGATGGCAGTGGGTTCCACCAGCAACACGGTGACAACGATGTCAAAAGTTGTTAACCCTGAAAGTCAAGGTCAATCGATAGACGTCACTGATCAAGGTTAGTATCATCAGGCCCGCCTTGTGGTAATATACCCTACAGTCAAGTGGTTAACACTTTCACCCCTATGTAACTTTAGTAGACTCTACCATGCATTCATCTGGATAAGTCCATTATGGTCTACAGTGGTGAAAGGTTAAAGATTGTTTTAATTTTTAGTTCGTGCGAAATGAAATTGTATACTCACACATAGAAATATACACCCGAATGAAAAAGAAACTCAACTTCAAATTTAAGAGTTTATAAAAGAATACTTTTGGGAAGTATGTCTAACTTATAGATTTAATGGTTAATTTTGAGCATTGATGTTACAGCATACACTTTTATAGATCTTTTTTTATGAAAGAGGTCTTCATTAGACTGAACTTAAGTACCCCAAGTTAACTCATTCACCCCTGAATATACATATGAACTTTTCCAATTCAATGGTTGGAATAGTTCATTATGAAATTTCAGGGGTGGGATGAGTTAAAATGGCGGCAGTTGTGAAACCATTCCTTAATATTGTTTCTTTCCTCCTCGTCTTCTCACAGCTACAGTATCTCATAATCTATGTTGCATAGAGTTGGTTCATAACAGCATTGATTATTTTGATAGGAATGTAATTCTATTCTCCCACCCTTCACAGCCGTGTCCCCCATTTGAGCCGGTAAAGATCAGCTTGTCACCCCCTAGAGGGAGATAGCCTCGTGCCGATTAGCAGGTGTTCAATTGTGACGTCATTAAAATGCGTCATCGGTAATTGTGACGTCATCAAAAGTGAATGACGATATGCATACCCTTGTTTACAAACACGGCAGACTACTGTCGGTGGAGCTGTGACTGAAATAATAGGATGGGAGAAAAATAATCATCCCCTACCTTGAGGGTGTGACAGAGAAATCTCCAACCCTCGGTTGACATTTTTGTTTGTCTAACCCTCGGGATAGACAAACAAAAAACATCACCCCTCTGGTTGGAGATTTCACACCCTCAGGACAGGGGAAGATTCTATTAATCCCTAACAAGTGTATTGGCCTATTACACTGGGGAGGTTATTTGGGGATATTTAATGATTCTGAACTCTCCTGTCTAGTTCTTCCCACAAGTGTATGATTTGGGAGAAATCGTGGCTATACGGAAACCAGTCAGTAAGGGCGATGTTACGTGTTGAAAAAAAGTCGAACCTACAATGATAATCAAGACTGGTTAGTGAAGAGCATGGACTTTTAAATGTCTTAAAGGAAAAATGTCTCGGCGTATGTGAAAACAAACCACTGCATACAATATATATGCTTGATGCTGCGGTGTCGGTGGTAGACTGCTATTGAGTTTCTGTTTCGTTTGAGTACTGTATCCTGGGAAATCTGTGCCCAGTCAAACTTTTTCGCGAGTAAAATCTTGATTCGCCCAATGTAAATTTTCACCTTCACATTTCACTATTTGTTTATTATGCTGTTTTTACTAATGTTCGCTGTCATGATAGATTGGCCCTCATTATGGAGGGTGAAAAAGGCGAAAAATCCAAAATCAAACTGCAGTGGACGGTATCGGTATACAGTATTTATCTCATTTCCATAAGGTAGAGCTGTCCAGGGTAACAAAGGGAAATTTCTATCTTACACCCCATTTCACATGACGTGACGTCACAATGCAATGCGGAAAAGGCGACGTGATGAAATTAAAACCTTTTACTTTATATCAACCGTACACGTTAAAAAGATGTGATTAATTTTTCTGCGCAAACATTGTTTGCAAACATGGGATATTTTTCTGCGCAAACAATGTTTGCAAATATGGGTTATGCTGATTTGTTTTTCGTCGAAAAAAGCTCAGGGGGAAAATTGATGTTTTCAAAATGGTGGCCAGTCCAAACGCATTTTCATGGTTTCCGGGCTTGTTCTGGTGGTTGGAATGAGAGAAAAATACATGTCCAAGGGTGTAGGATAGAGATATTTCATGGGTTTTACCACATTTGAACATCCCCTCGGGGGGAATGTCCCTATCCTACACCCCTGGGCATGAAAGAGTCTTATAATATTTATTTTTTCTCTTAATTTGGGTTGATTTTTCAGGAGAACAACATTATCATCTTTCAAAATTTAAACTTGAGTTGAAGACCGTTCCACAATCCTTGTTCAGAAATCATACTGGTTTAAATGATCAAACAATTAAAGATAATGTTCCATATTTAGTGATATTTAAATGTTCCCAAGAAACTCGTGTACCATTTGTGTTCCCCGGCTTGGACCCTTGGCCTATTTTGTTGTATTGTGTAAGGCTATATATAATAGTGATGGGCTGATGATCATGATAATCTGAAATTGATCCGTTTTCCCTTTCCGATTCCGATTATCAGTTCCAAATTTCATAATCGATGTTAAGGGGTCATAATTGAAATGAAAGAGTCAGATGTTTACAATGTAAAACTGCATTGAAATTCATTTATTCTTCTGATTTTTACTACATGATAAACTGCATAATATTTTTTTGAATTCCACTCTTTTAACCCTTTCACCTGCAGACCATAATGGACTCATCCAGATCAATGCATGGAAGAGTTTACTGAAGTTACATAGGGGTGAAAGGGTTAAAAGAACGAAATTTTATGTGTAGTTTACAACTCCGTCTATTGTTAATACAGTATTGTTCTTGCTATATTTGGCTATCCCCTTGAGGTTATAAACTGAGTACGATCATTGAATGTTTTATTACTGCCATTTACAAACAGATTATCGATTATGTAATATATTATTATATACCGATTGAACATCACTGCTGTTTAAAGGTCTTAATTCTTTCAACACATCAACCAGAATAAACACAGTAGTCTTCAGAATCTGACATACTATTTATTTCCGAATTTCATTTCTTTTCTCCTACAGCTGACCAGCCCGTGATATCAGTATTACCGTTGAAGTTGCCGTATGTCGACCAGAAGGGCAGCAAGGTCACCTTCCTACAGATGCAGAACAAAACGGACCAGGAAGGGAAAGTGGTGGAAAACATCGCAATACCTGCCGAAATTCAGAACCTGCTCCGTCAGGGGGCACTGAGTGTGGGAGGTCAAGGGGCGAGCGGGACAACCACAGCTGCTGGTAAAGGGATTGAACAGAAGATAACCTTCCCTGTTGGCGGGAAAGCACTTTCAATGGCCAGTGGTTCGAAACCGGCAGAAACCGCCACTGTTGGTCAAGGTAAAGAGCAGCGTATCACTATTCCACTGAGTCAGCTAGCAGCCATGATGGGCAACACAGCACAGGCACAGAAATACGGCATAACCATCAACCTAGACGGGAAGGGACAGAAAGAGATGTCAACGGTTTCCACCTCCTTAGCCTCCGGAGGGTCTGTTTTGTCGACTGGTATTCCCGTCAGTTTGATGCCGTCCTCAAGCATTCCTTCAAACATCAACACGGCACTTCAAAATGGAGGTCAAGGTCAGGCATTTCTTACGTTGATGACTGGTGCAAATCAAGGTCAAGTTCTGACTTCAACCCTTGCAAATCTAGGTACCATGGCAACCGGTTCGCAACGATCAACTGGTGGAAACAAAAATATTCCATCTACCGTGCTTGAGGCTATGGATCTGAAAAATATCGTGGGGAATTTATCAAAATCACCGGAAGTTCAAAAAGGCCTGAAAAGTGTGAGTATTACAGGTGCCACTAGTCAGACTTTGCTGTCGCCAACAAAACACACTGTCAACAAAGACCTCACTAGTCTTGCCGAGGCTTTAAAAACACGCCCACCACAGTCGCTTAGTCAAGTCTTACCGACACCTACAGTCGTGGGAAGCCAGTCAAGAAAGGGGACACCTAAACAAACAGCGGCCGTAACCTCAACATCCTCAAAAATACTGGATACACCAGGAGTCCGAAACAAACTTGTCACTCGACTACTAATCAGTGGAGCAGCCACTTCTACGTCTCCGACCATGTCTCCGGCAATCCAGAGCAGTATGGCAACATCGACCTCCACATCCTCTCCGACGTACAACCTAGTCTTCCATCCCAACACACCGTTATCTACTACCTCCTCGTCACAGTTGTCTGCCCCTGTTCCGCAGACCCAGGTGATTAACGTACAGAATCTGACGAAACAGCAGCTGTCCGCACTCACATCATCTGGAGTCCTGGTCGGTCAGACTCTTGCTGCCAGTACACTTGTCAAGTCAGGTGGGTGAACACTTACAAAACCTGGAATATTCCTAAATATTTTTATGAAGAAAGAAGTTATCTCAAATTCACAGATATGATTAACGTTTAATGGCCAACAATGCTTTAAAGCTCAAACAACGCTACTGTAAAGTTTGAAAGTTTTTCATATTCTATCATATTTTTTTTCTGTAGTTGGTGAATTATAAGTAATGTAATAAGGCTACTTCAAAAATTAGAAATTTTGCCGTCTTTTGTAATTTTCATCTTTAATTACAGTAGCCAATTTAACAAATGGTTGGAAGATATTAAAGTTAGTATCCTGAAAAATGATGCATTAAAAAATGCAGCATTAAAACGTTTGCACCAAATGCAAAATATTTTATAGAAAATATATACAGTACCTAAATGTGTAAATGTTTCTTCTCATAACCAAATGTGTTATTTGTTTATGTCTGCAGATGATGCACACCCATCACCATCCACTGTAGGCGTGCCCCCCCCAGCCACTCCCAGAGTAGCCTCCCCTGGTAGCTCAGGAGTTGTCTCCCCTAGTGTCAAACCTTCCACACCACGAGCAGGTAGGTTGTAGGGCTCTTCACCAAAAGTTGATACATACAAAAAACGTTTTTTCCCATCTGTAAGATCGGTCAAAGTATATATGTAAAACCATTGAATGTCAAAATAATTTTCCATTGCATCTGTCTTGGGCCTTGGTATCCAACTTCAGGCATTGCAATAGATACATACACAAATTCAGCTACCATTAAAGTCACTCAGTGTTCCCACTGAATTTTAGATTTGGAGGTATATTTGATACATTTTCAAGATTCTATACTCCTTTGTGCCTAGTTACATAGGGCAATTGTTGAAAATTGGGGGTACAACCAACTATTTGGGGGGGTGGGGGGTGGGGGTGACAAACCCTCATTTGGGGGTTTCTTGGCACACCAGTCTCTCTAAGGTATGTTATTTTTAGAAATGTTTTATATAGGCTGTCGTCATCTCAAAAAATACAGTTTCCAATGCCTTGATACAGTTTTGGTGTGAGGATCCTTAAGGATATTTCGCAGTTGAAGGTTAATGAGTCTAATTTTACTGTAATCGAAGTATTTGTAATGACAGTGTCCCCTAACCTGAGACCAGAACTGATGGAGCAGGTGACGATCGATCTGAAGGAGATTCAAGATGATAGCCCACCAGTGGAAGGGGAGACAACCAGTACCCCAAATTGTAAGTCAGAAATAAATAAACAAGTTCGTCTCTGTAATATTTGCAAGAAGAAATGTAGGAATTTTCCCATTGAGAAAATATTGTTGAAAATGGTCAAGATTTCTCTAAATATTTATTCAAGAGGAGGTCCCCCAGGCTCAAAATTTTGAAAACTTTGGGAATTTAAAAAAAAAAAAAATTGCTGGTAGAGAGAAACAAGTGAATGCAAGTAGAATTTCGTGTAGACAATTTTTACACCTTTAACGGTAATCTAAGTTAATGTATTTTTTCTAACTATTCTAAAAAAACGAATTATTAAAAGGGAAAATTCTTACAGGCTGAAATTAAAGTAAATCAACTAATCATATTACAGGATTTTCACTAGAGGTATAATATAATACTTTAGGAAGGGGTGATTTTCTCCATCGTAAAACTGGGGCGCCCCCTTTAACATCATGAATAGGACCAGTTAGTGACTTTAAAAAACAGTCTCATCCCTGATAGTATTGTAACATCTGACACGCAGTATAACAGACATTCTCAATATTTGTTTCTTAACAGTCTCCTATTCGTGTCTGTGGTGTAAAATCGACTTCTCTAAGAAGATTGATCTGCTTCAACACTTCATGAATCTACACCAGGACATGCTCATGGTGCCCGGAGAACAGGAGGTCATAGGTCAAGGTTATGACGGCACCCAAGGTCAGATTCATGACCTGTCACAAGATCAAATGTTCGACGGACAAGAACAGTCCTTAATTGACATCAATGCTTTGGACCTGCGCACTGTGAAGACGGAGATGATTGAACAGACTCCGGACATGTCACTTTCCTGTCAATCTCACCACAAACAAGCGAAGACTGTCAAAGAGGCTCTGAGTCGAAAGAAGGGTGGATTATCGGGGGGGAAGGAAGGTGGTGCTAAGAGAGAAAGAGTGAAGAAGAAAGGAAAGAAGGATAAAAGGGAAGAGGGAAAGGGTAAAGTTCGTGAGATCAAAAGCAAAGGAGATCAAAGTCACACGCCATCAAGGGGTGATCCAGAGTCCAACCAAAGTTCAATGTCCGCAGCCAGTGACCCACGCCCGAAATACAGCTTGACCAGTCTGATCGAGGCCCTGAGAGACAGCATCGAGCGTGATAAAAGTAAGAAAGGAGATGGTATGTCAGGTGAGGGAGATACTTCAGGCTCGGAGATGTCTGACGAGAGTACGTCGGTGCCAAATATGATATGCTACGATGACCTGAGCCCTGATACCAGTTCAGGTGGAGGAGGTCTGGGAGGAAGCGATTCGGAGGCAGTGGATGGTGACATTCAAGTGTCGGTGAAAACTTTCCAAGTGGACGGTAAAACAATGTATAAGTGCTCCCTGTGTGCCAAAGTCTTTAGCAAGACATGTACCTTTGCACGCCACGCCATGGTGCACTCACGCATGTACCCCTACCAGTGCGGTCTATGTGACGAAAAATGTAGTGACATGAGGGTTTTACTCCGGCATCTCGATTGGCACGGTGAAAACGTCGACTGCCCGTGTAAGAAGTGCGAACGGCTGCACAAGTACGGCGACATCAAGACAATCGGGGAGAAAGCTTCCGGGACAAGTAAGTTTGTGTGCGAGATCTGCCAGAGGAGTTTCGTCAGCGATGTTGCATGCAAAGCACACGTCAACATGCACAAGCGAAGCGGAAGTCTCGACTGCGAGGTCTGTAACGTCGAGTTCCAGTGTAACAGGGCATTGTCCAAACACAGGAAGTCTGTTCACGGCATCCAATTCTGTCCCTACTGTCTCGAGACGTGCACACTGGACATGGCGTCACACATGAGCGAACATGAAGGCGTGTACATGTACCGGTGTGGGCTTTGTGGTGACGGCTACAACAGTCGACCGTTATTACACGAACATTTAAAAATACACACTCATCTCGGGAAAGAATTCGGCCAGCAGCTGGAAAATGAAATGAAGTCTGTTGGAATCTTGCATAAGAAAGGTTCCGGCGGGAGTAAACCTGCACCAGAATCTGTAAAGAACGTCGAGAGCCCAAAAACTGTGAAAAAAGAAACGAAGAAGGAAACTAAAAAAACTGGGAAAAAGAAAGCAGCAAAATCTAAGTCGGCGAAACCAAAGAAACAGACAGAAGCAACGGAGGAAATTACTGAAGATGTTACGGAGATGGAGAGTACATCTTCTTCCCCAACTAAGGCAGAACCTTCAAAGATTATGCCTGTCAGGCAAAAAACACGAAAATGCCGTTGGC